AAAGAGTACAGCAGAAAGGAATCTAGGGGTTATAGTGGACAACAAGCTAAATACGAGTCAACAGTGTGACGCTGTTGCAAAATAAGCAAACATGATTCTAGGAAATACAGGACTATGTAGCACTTTAAAGACTAACAAGATGGTTTATTAGATGATGAGCTTTCGTGAGCCAGACCCACTTCCTCAGATCAAAAACTTCAGCTCATCATCTAATAAACCATCTTGTTAGTCTTTAAAGTGCTACATAGTCCTGTATTTTGTTTCAGCTACACCAGACTAACACGGCTACATTTCTATCATGATTCTAGGATGCAGTAATAGGTGTGTTGAGAGCAAGACATGAGAAGTCATTCTTCTGCTCTACTCTGGGCTGATTAGGCGTCAGTTGGAGTATTGTGTTCAGTTCTGGACCACGTTTCAAGAAAGGTGGAGAAATTGGAGAAGGTCCAGAGAACAGCAACAAGAATGATTAAAGATCTAAAGAACATGATCTAAAGAAGGAAGACTGAAAGAATTGGGCTTGTTTAGTTTGGAAAAGAGAAGATTGAGAGGGGACATGATAGTGGTTTTCAGGTATCTAAAAGGGTATCACAAGGAGAAGGGAGAAAAATTGTTCTTCCTGGCCTCTGAGGATAGATCAAGAAGCAATGGGCTTAAACTGCAGCAAGGGAGGTTTAGGAAAAAGTTCCTAACTGTCAGGGTGGTTAAACACTGGAATAAATTGCCTAGGGAGGTTGTGGGTACTGGGCCCTGCCATGAGGACAAGGGACTGGACTCAATGACCTCTCGAGGTCCCTTCCAGTCCTAGTATTCTATGATTGTCTTTATTTATGAGAGGGGCGTGGAGCCTGTTTTGAGTCGGGTCACTGACCCACAGAAAAGTCAGTTGGGGCCACACAAGTGAGATACAAAAACACAACCCCCCCAAGACCCTCAAGCCTTGCTAATGTGGCCTCAACTGTGTTGGTGGAGGCAGGGGACAGGGTGCTGGGGCAGGAGACAGGGATCTTGTGGGTGCTGGGTCAGGGGGCCAGTGGGGGCAGGGTGCTGGGGTAGGGAACAGGGTGCTGAAGTGGGGGACAGGGTGCCAGGGCAGCGTGCAAATGGGTGCTGGTGGGTCCTGGGGCAGGGGACAAGGTACTTGTGGGGGAAGGGGCAGGGATTGGTACCTGGGGAACCTGCAGCTGTACGCCAAGGCCCAGGAAGTGCGTGGACTGCTCCCCTGTCCGCCAAACAGCTGTGCGGTATCAGGGGGAGGGGGAGTCCTGGACTGTACCAGCTCCAACTGCTCAAACAGCGCGCGCTTTGCTCCTCTGCTCCCCACAGCAGTGTGCACTGCCTGAGCAGTTAAAGCTGGAGCAGTTCCAGATGCCCTCTCCTTCTCCCCTTCTTCCCCTGCACGCAGGAAGGCAGCAGGGGAATAAAGTCTCCAGTGTGCAACAGCCCGGTGTTTTAGGTATTGTGCCTACTCTTTGGAAGGGGGAGGGGAGATAGCAGCCCGTGCACTTCCGGGACCTGGTGAGCAGCTGCAGAACTTCCCCCCTCCCCGCAGGAAATCCGAGCTACCTCCATTGTCCCTGAAGGTAATGTCAGCATGGCATTCATCTTGGGGGAGGGGGGCAGTGAGGAGGGGCCTCCCAAAGCCTCGCAATCAACTGGTTGAGCCCCCAGGATTGACCAGTCGATTGCGGTCAACAGGTTGTTGATCACAGCTCTAGACGTTTCCTTCAGAAGTTGTCTTAACTAGTTTCACATGTGTTTGGTCCCTTATCACTGCTGATCAATGGATGATGGATATAATAACATGGTTCCATCCAGTTTTCAGAGGTACCTATGTTGTTGCCCAATTCTTTGGTGATTATTATTGATTTCCAATTAATTATATTTACAGAACTGGGGGATTTTAGGGTTCTAGTCCCAGAATCAAGGTTGTCAAGTTCAGCATCTAGACAGGAACAAGCTGCATGGCTATTGCACAGCAATAGCACACTAAAGATAAAACAAAACTTCAATTGCTTTTTATCAGCGGAATTAGTAAAGACAGAAGCTTCAAACCACATAAAGATATAACAATAGTACACAGTTAATCTGATGAAATCTCTTGTACTGTTCTTTGCATATACTCATATCCTTGAGGGTTCTGGTGGTAAGACACAGGTCTTGCTCTGTGGCCTTGCACCCCAAACTAGTCTGATGGTCCGTATCTTCCCCTTGCATTGTATTCTGGCCTGTTACAGGACCTAGGGGCTGTCATGAACATTTATTCAAATGCCCAGCCTCTCTTGTCCATATCAGATTTCCTCCCCCTACATGTTGGAATACTCTAATCCTGTGGTCACCAACCAGTAGATTGCGATCTACCGGTAGATCTTAGGGACTCCAAGAGTAGCTCTTGAGCCCTCTCTGAACTGCGCACCTGTGCAGTACATTTACATTAGATTTCCTCATGTAGTGTAGGCAGGGCTTCAAGGAAGGGGTGGGGCAGTAGATCTTCGCCTGTTCTGAGACTTAAAAAGTGATCTTGGATGTAAAAAGCTTGGAGACCACTATATTGTACTAATGATTTAACTTATTACCATATATTTTAATTTGTCATGGCAAGTTCATGGTTAAGCATTTTACAATCTTTCTATCCTAAAATATCCAAGCCTAGTATCAGTTCAATGTTCCTGCAGTTACCTGATACAGTTTTGTACAAACTGCTCCCTTAAGCAAGATATTCCTGGGTTCCCAAAACTTAGGGGGACTCTTGGGCTATTTATCGAATCCAAAATTCATAGGCTGCAAAACCTTGAGCTTAAGCTGATGCATTACAGGACACAGGCAGGTAGGTTCATTGCGTCATTGTTAAGAAAAATGGAAAATGTTAAAAGGTAGTTCTATGGGCTACAACATCTAAAGTCCCTTACCTGTCCCTTTTCAGGGACCCATCTCAAAAGGGTCCATTACTTCTAGAAAGAAGAATGCAAACTTCCTGAAGTAATAGAAGAGATCTCTTCACAATAAATTTCAGCACATTTGGAAGATGAAATTCAGAAGAGACACTCTTACATTACCATATTTCCTAACCAGGGTAATTAACTCACACAGCAGATCTCAATAGGCCTGTGAAGCCGTCCACATGTTCATTTGTTCCAGACGTTAAGCTTAAGAGTCAACTAACAGAAATCAACTTAAATTGGATTATCTGAAATGGAATTAATCAGGGTCATCCTAGATAGTTCCATGTACAGAGCCTGCCTACCTCTAGGCAATTTCTTTAAACTGTGTTCCCTAATTTTTCATCTGAGGAAGTACTGACGTACCTGTGTAGCAGATCTAAAAGTAGCCATCCTGCAGCAAAAAAACTTCAGGACCAGACTTCAAAGAGAAACTGCTGAGCTACAGTTCATCTTTAAGTTTGACACAATCAACTCTGGATTAAACAAAGACTGTGAATGGCTTGCTAACTACCAAGAGAGCAGAAGCTACTTTTGAATTCACACCTCCAGATCAACTGCTAGAAGTGGGCCTCATCCTCCTTGATTGGATCCACCTCGTCATCTCCAGCCTGATCCTGGCCTGCATATTTATACCTGCCTCTGGAAATTTCCACTACATGCATCTTGACGAAGTGGGTCTTTGCCCATGAAAGCTTATGCTCCTACACTTCAGTTAGTCTATAAGGTGCCACAGGACTCCTCGTCGCTTTTGCAGATTCAGACTAACACGGCTACCCCTCTGATACTGTGTAAGATGGTGTCTTACCCTCCTATGTCTGAATGTCATTGAGCACATGGGAGAAACAAGCCCCATGTTCTCAGTTCCAGTGCCTAGCCGACATTGCCCTCAAGTAGCCATTTTGGGGAAAGTCCAATTTTGCTCCTGTAGCCAGGGGCTGGATGGAATATGATCAGTTCTTCCTTGTTTATGGTGTATTCATAGTCTGGGCAGTCCTAGGAACTGCAAGGCTTGAGCATGAATCTTTAGAAACTTCAGCTGCAAACTAACAAGGAACTGTCCTAGACTGAGGTGTCATTAGAGGAGTACTGGCTGGGGAGAGAATTGCTGCTCTGTCCTCAACAGGTAGCTGCAGCTGTCACTGAGGGAGAAGTGTTCTTCCTGCAGACAGGCAGCTTCATGCGCGGAGCCCTGAGCCCCTGGCTGGGCAGGGCTAGTTATGCAGCTGCAAGGCCCTGCTGCTGCATGGCTTAGAGGGAACCTTGCATTATAGCCATTCTTACATGCTCTACTGATGATGCATGAACTATGGTTGCTTTCAAAAAATTTTATCACTTGGACAGATTTGGCGAGATTTTCATGGGGATGGCAAAAGGTACATCTGACACATTTAATTCCTGCCAAATTGCAAGTCCTTTTCCAAATCATGAATGCTAGAGCAATTAGGAAAGGTCACCAGAATTTAGCATGGGTGGAAAAATACTTTGTTTTGCCTTTGCCTCTTTCTTGGGAATGACTGTACTTTTTTTGTCTGAAATCTTAAAAGCCTGAGGGAGATATTCAGCCTGTAAAATTCCTGCCCAAATGTTTATCAAAGTTATAAACAATTGAAAATAAAGACTTGACTTATGGGAAGTGTCAAGCAACCTTAACAAAGTGGTGCTATCAGCCATACCTATAATTTTGCCAAACTTGTCTATTAGTATTTCAGTTCCCTGTAAGAGCAATAGCGGTGTCCAGAAAACATGGGTATGAAGAAAAATTAGTGTCAAACAAAGAACATTTGGATAATTGTGGATAGTTCTCTCAAAACATCCATTCAGAAGAAATTTGGAGAAATTTATTGTTTTATTAAAGCAATTCTGATCAGTTAAATCAATGTGACATGTCAGTCTCAAATCATAATTTCAGTTGCTAATCAGAGGAAAGATTGGTCTGAGCTGTGAACCATATGACAAAATTTAAGTTTGTTCCAAAGGTGTTTGCTTTGGGACTGTCCACCTTTTAAAATGACGCCTGAATAAATTGATGGAATGCTTCTTTTCTGCATCTTTTTAAAGTGTTCCTTCTTTTTACAGCAGCTGAAGAATCGGAAAGTGACATCTATATGCGATTCATGAAGTCTAACAAGTGTTATGACATAGTTCCAACAAGTTCTAAGCTTGTTGTTTTTGATACTACGTTACAAGTAAGTGCTCCAGACTACATTTTGTTGAGGTTCGATTGCCTTTTAACATGAACATAAATGCCCATCTCGAATGGTGTGTGAAATTGATTTCTCTTTAGAGAACTGTTTTTGAGAAGCTTTTTGGGTCCAAGAACTGCAATATATATGTGTGTATAATTAGGGAACTTTTTTATTTTAATATTTTACTTTGAGTCAGTATTTAGTGTGCTCCAGACTACATTTTGTTGAGGTTCGATTGCCTTTTAACATGAACATAAATGCCCATCTCGAATGGTGTGTGAAATTGATTTCTCTTTAGAGAACTGTTTTTGAGAAGCTTTTTGGGTCCAAGAACTGCAATATATATGTGTGTATAATTAGGGAACTTTTTTATTTTAATATTTTACTTTGAGTCAGTATTTAGTGGAGCTTTCTGATGGACATGGAGCTTTACTGATTTTCATCAGGAATAGATAAATAACTTCTAAGATTATGTGGGAGTATGAGTATTTCACATATTATCAGAATGTTTTGAGCCTTGTTTTTTAAGATAAGAGCTAGACAATTCAAGGTTTAAACAATCCTCTGAATTACATAAATGTATAATTCTTTGGAAATTTTACCAGTAAATTATCTTCTGAAGGATTCAGTGAGTTTGGATTTGTGTTTTTGTGTGCATGGTGAATGCAGTGGACAAAAGCAGCAAGTGCTAGAACAGGGATTGGCAACCTATGGCACGCATGCCATTTTCTGTGGCATGCTAGATGGGAGCTCAGCCCCGCCTCTCCTCCCACCCCTGCACAGCGGGGTGCCTGTACTTTGGCTGGAGGCTTAGGATAGCTGCAGGATGGAGCACCAGCTCTGGCTTCCTACTGAGAGCATGAGAGGCACGTGCGCGTCATGACATAGGGGCCGCGGCAGTCCAGCAAGACCCTGCACTGAGCTCTGTGTCCCTGGGGCTGCCCCTGCCCAACCTGGGTGTTCAGCTCTTGGGAGTTAAGGGGTTAACACCCCTCCTCTCCCCCATGCATGTGCTATAGGCTCTGCCTCCTGCTCCAGGAGCGGACTGGGCTGGGTGGCTGGTCATACATGGGGCACCGGGGCCTATGCTATGTTGTGCTGCTCACTGTGAGGTATGTGCAGGGCCAGGAAGCCTGTTCCCAGCTGGGCTCGAACCAGCCCCGGACTCTGCCTGCCCCAGTCCCAGAGGCGCAGCCTGTAAATGAGGGGCGAGCCCTAGGCAAAGGGCTGAGCTGGGCAGGGAAGTTACTCTGTCCCTCCTCACCCCAGCACGGCTCCCAGGGACTAGGAGTCCCAGTGCTGCTGGTCTGCTAGTGTGTGCGCTGAGGGGAACAGGGACGTTGGGGCAGGAGGGGAATGAAGGAAGATGTGGGGAAAGGATCAGAGGGGCAGGGGTTGCACTGCAGAGGGATGGGGTGATGCGGGGGGGATCGTGGGGCTGAAGGGAGTGAGGCTGGAGCAGGGGAAGGTGCACTTTCCTTTACTCCCCACTCCTTTGCCTTCCTTCCCCCATTACAGCACAATCCTCTTTGCACCTATCATTCTATGTGAATGGGAATTTCTGCCAATTTGCAGACACTGCTGGAAATCTGGCAGCTCTGTACACTGTTCAGTAATCTGTAGTGTCCCTTGGCATTAAACCTCCGCTCCGGGTCTCCAGCAGAATAGCTGCTTTTAATGCCAGTGCCTATTTCTGCTGACAGCTCAGACCCTCATTCGTTATTTCCCCCGCTGCTCTGAGCTGTGTCTGTCTGGGGCTCCTTGGCTTCTCCATGGATCAGTCTTCTCCAGCCCCTGTTGTGACCCCTCAGTTACTGACAACACCTCACTGGGATTTCCTGAAAAACAGCTGGCTTAGAATTTTTAATCTAAATATTCTTCTTTTACTTAGTTCCAGAGCTATATAGTTGCCATAGGAAACACAAATCTCCATCATAACCCAGAAAGACACCAGTGTTTATTCCCCTTCCGCAAATGGGAACACAATAATCAACCAGCCAAAAGGGTTTTGATACGCACCTATTTGGCTGCATTGTCATCCTCTCACCTTTTTGCATTACTTCCCCAGTCCTCTCTCTCCCCCAAACTCCCTCTTGTACCCCACCCTCTCAGTTTGACTCAATTTTGTAATTAGAGCAGTGGCTCACATCTGGTCTTGCTCCTTCAGTCAGTGGTGTATATCCTTACCCAGAGTAATTCTACTGTCTGAAGTGGGGCACTGACAGCTGGAGCATAGCAGTTGGAACCTGTTGCCACTGAACAATCTGAGCTACAAGCCAGGTGTAGGCCCCAGATGGGAGCTCACACCGAGCTGACAGCTCAGGCTGTCAGTGCTGGGTGGTATGTAGAGTGCCAGCTATCAGCTCCATTCAGGACTGACCAACAGGTGAAATAAGTAACAGTCTCCGCATGGACCCCGTGTCACTCTAACAACATGAACGTAAAGGCTACACCTCTTGTGAAGGAGGAGTTATGTCAGTGAGTCAGGGCACTTACTTCAGCAGAGGCAGCATTTGAGAGTAGACCTGACATAATAACAGTGACCTGTCTCTGGAGCGTAGACCAAGCCTGAGTCTACTAATATTTGTGTCTGTCTTAGCATTTCAGTAAATCCCCAAGAAGACTTTTTCAACACATCTATTAGTCTTCTGTCTGATCTCTGTCTGTACAATAGTGTCCTGTCAGGGTTCCAGTAATAAATGTTGGCGATGGCCATTTTGCTAAAGAAAAGAAAGAGACAATAATGAGAGACTGATTAACCAGTTCTTCTTCAAATGTTTGCTCATGTTGATTCCATTGTAGGGTGTACACGTACTCACATACACGACTGTCTGAGACTTTTGTCTTAGTGGTACCCATAAGGCTAGCCGTGGTACCCATAAGGCTAGCCATAGCACCTCATAGCAGGGTATATCAGGCACCGCCTGCCCTGCACACTCTCATTTCCTTTTTACTGCCTGTGGTGGTCATTCAGAGCACTTCTATTCCTTGCTTTACAAGCGGTCAGCAGTTTTTTTTCATCTGTTTAGTCTTGTTCCCTTAATACTTGCTGGATCGTAGTTAAGTACTTGTAAGTATTTAGTTGGTGTGTCAGTGGAGTTGTCTCTAGTGGGGCATGACCCAGTCTTAGGTATAAAGCCCTGTTGGTTGTATAACAACGCATGGGAGTTGTCTGTAGTGCCTCAGGAAAACCCATATAAAGGAATGCTGTCATATTTGCCAGAACCTTAGTACCTGGCAATGTTCCCTCTAGGGGGCACGCCTTAGTGGCTGCGCAGGAAACAATCATAGCATACTAGAACTTGAAGGGACTTCATAAGGTCAAGTCCAGTGCCTGCACTCATGGCAGTACCAGTCACCTTCTGAATCTCCCCTGACAGATGTTTGTGTAACCTGTTCTTAAAAAATGCCCAAATGATAGAGATTCCACAACCTCCTTAGACAACTTACTCCAGTGGTCTTTGACAGCCTTGCTCTAGTTGCAGGAAGGAGACAACTCCTTGGGCTCAGAGGCCCTAACAGCATGATTTGGCTCCCAAGGGTGTAGCAGCAGCATCAGTGCCAACCTGGCACCAAAGCTGATGGCTGTATTGGAACACACAGGGCACAGTTAACCTGTGGAACTCCTTGCCAGAGAATGTTGTGAAGACCAGGACTTAAACAGGGTTCAAAAAGGAAACTAGATACATTCATAGAAGATACATCCTTCAATGGCTATTAGCCATGATGGGTAGGAATGCTGTCTCTAATCTCTGGTTTTCAGAAGCTGGGAATGGATTACAGGGGAGGGATCGCTTTATGATTTCCTGTTCTGTTCATTCCCTCTGGGACACCAGGCATTGGCCACAGTTGGAGGATAGGATACTGAGCTAGATGTACCTTTGGTCTGATTTAGTATGGCTATTCTTATGTGCTTGCTATGAACATAGACTAAGGCTAGTCACATTTGTAGGAGCCTTAAGGCTGGGAGTATTTTTTCACGTAGGTGCTTGCAGCCATGTGGCCTATCAGATGCAGGCATATGTGGGTCATGGTAAGTGGTTGGCTCTATATGTGGGTGATCTAGTATGACATGGCTTTCAAAAGTGCTTGAGTCTAGACCTTCACCAATGAACTCTATGCATTAAACAGAAAAATCCACGTTAGCACCAAGGATGCCATTTCAGGAGGGTGGGAGGGAGCAGCTGTGTGCTCTGGAATGCAGCTTGCTTTTAATTCTGTTCCCTAGATTATCAGGGAGCCATCATAGGCTGCCCCAGAGATAGATCTGGCTCCTACATTAGGAAGGTGAGATAAGGAACACCCTGAAGGTAGGGAGGGCTCTGGAGTGGCTTCAGAGATTGGGTATTCCCCTGGGGAACACAGGGTGATGGATTGGAGTCCTGCCCCACCAGCCAGGTGAGAGGCACGTACAGAGAATGCAAGTACTTTGAAAAGCAAGCCTTATCCTGGAGTGCATGGCTGCCTCCCCCACCTTGGTTAGCACCTGATCATTAGGAGACTCGGATCATTGCAGATAAGAGTGCACCAGATTGAGGCTCCTCTGGACCTACCCCAGAGATGTTCTCTTGATGAACAAATCATTGCAATATGGAAAAATCTTGATCCTTGTTGGCAAGAAGAAACAGGAGGCAGAGGGTCAACGGCTTCTGATATACCACGATTATGAACATGGCACCCAAGGGGACACTACAGGAACTTTACAGGCGCAACTACCTCAGAAGTCTCTGATGGCCGCACAAGTAGGCTCACGCACACCCTAAAATGGAATGGACAGGAGCAATCCAACTGGAAGCAACAACCATTGCAAAAAAGGTTGAGTAATCTTTTTTTTTTTGTCATGCCATAGTGAAGTTATTGGATTGGAAGAAAGACCTGAAGATTTTATCTAAAACTTTTCAATAAAAACATTTGTGAAGAGGTTAATCAACAAGTATATTCAGGTAAATAAGTTAACAATTGGAACAATTTAAAATTTTAATAAAATTAAAGGAAATAAG